CCTTGTGTGCATTGGGAAACATACTTTGTTTCGATACATGAAGCCAAGTTTTTGCCTCAGTTTACATGTGAGCGTGTTAATATGGTGTTTAAAAGTGCATTAATCGTCCAGCCATATGTCAAGGTATTTGTACTCACTAACTCTTTTCAACATCAGATCCATTCAGGGTTGTGCTTTTAAAAGTGTTAAAATCAAGTGGAATTACATGTGCTGTTTTCAAGATACTGGGTTTTCTGCTTGATAAAATAGATAAATTAAAAGTGTATGTAATGTATTCTAAAATAATCGGGGTTGCAAGCTCAAGAAATAAGGGATCCAAGCTATCCTCTCTTTTACTTTTTTTAGTGTTGATGGTGTTAAGGGCTTTGGCTACTAAGTGAAGAGAGAAAGAGTGAATTGTAAAGAGACCATGTCTTACAGCTGGGGGTGTATCTTTTTCATTGAGAGGCGCTTCCATATTACAACTATCAAATAAATGTTCAGCAGCTGTGAGTATTAAATACACAGCAGATTTCTCTCTGATCAGTAATCTGTCTTCCAAACTTTGAAGGAATTTGAAGCTGAATTTGTAAACATCTCAAGGTAATATTCAGCTTTGGCTTTTCTGATGCAGGAAGTACATTTATTCCTTAGCTGCCTGAAAGTAAGCCATTGGTCTCTGTCACCATTTCCTCTTGCAAGGGCCCATTTCTAGTATTAAGCAAGGAAGATATTTCAGAATTGAACCAGGGATTTGATCTCCAATTCTAACATTTTTTAAGGAGCATGTTTTTTTACCACCGCCAGGAAAGTTTTGCAAAAACAGTCTAGCGCTAAATCAATATCTGGGATTTCAGAAGTGTAGTGGATGTCACTGAGTGCTAGATCGTTTAAGAAATCTTGATCATTAAAATGTTTAAAACTTCTTCTAACCACCATCTGAGAGCCTGACTTTATTAGGGTTCCAAGCACCTTTAGGTGCATGGAACCCTATTGCTTTTGCTAGCCAAATCTAGGGAGCCAAATCAGTAACTGCAAATGTCATTGTTGAAATATACATGGAAAGCTTTACTGTATGTCTTTAAGCAAAGAGCATTTCTGAATGTTATGCTTTCCACTGAGCCTAACAATTTTGCAAATACAAGTCTTTGAGCAATTGCAGTTGAAAAAAGATGGAGAATAGACATTTTCTTACTAATTCTTAAGTTTAAATCAAATTTCATTTTTCTTAAAACAACCTAAATTATTAATAATAATGACTTCTAAGCACCGTGTGGCTGAAGATTTGAATAAATTGATGTGAACTGGCTTATTCTGCTATAAAGGCTAAAAATACATCAATAATTGTCTGATTATAAGCAAATTTGACACAAATATAAAAATTACAAACTGACAGTGTATTATGATTTCAATTGAAATTATACTACTCAATAGTCACAGTAATTGCAAGGTGGGAACTAATTCCCAAAATGGTGCTTGGTTCTTTTCCTCTGTACCAATAAATTGTCTCAAAAAACAGGTCTGCTGTGGGCCTCTTGTAGCTCACCCTGAAAACATCTGCTTTTGAAGATTAAAGTTGTGGGTTTGATTCCCTGTCACAGATCTTGAATGGTGCTGTAGCAGTTGTTGTGAACACACACTTAATTATCTTAAACTTAAGGAAGGGTCTTTCTGAAAAATCCAATGATTTGCTCCCTTCTATGTCCAAAGACATGAAATTTGTTTATGATGCTCCTTTTCCTAAAATGGTGTGTGGTTCCTTGTTGCTTCCTTTCAATAAATTGTTTCAAAAACTGCAGTTGTGCCCTAGATGTCTTGTGGCTCACCGTGAAAGCCTCCGCCTTTGAACTCTAGGGTCGGGGGGTTCGAATCCCGGTCATGGATGTTAAAAGGAGTTGTGTAGATTGTAGCAGATGTATCACCTAGTGGTCTTAATCTTAGGAAAAGGAGATCTTTCTTAAAAATCTAAACATCTGCTGCATTCTATGACCATGGGCCACTACTTTACTCCTCGATGTCTTAATGGTGCTTGGACCCCGCAGATTGCCGCTTGTGGCTATATATATGCTTGTGTTTCCAATGCATAGGATAGGACAGTGGTCACTAAAACCAGGGTCAAATACACCTATACAAGTAATATTGTCGGGTCTGTTGGATAAATTTAAATCTATGAGTGTTGACATATTGGGGTCATGCAAGTTAGGTTGTGTTGGTTCTGTAATTAGTTGCATTAGCAACAGATTTCCACATGCTTCCTTCAAGAGTTTGGATGCATTAGTTAACCAGTTCAGATTAAAACTGCCTAGGAAACTCAGCATTTCTAAGTTGATGTATGGATTTAAAAAAGCTAAATCATTTACAGTATGAGAAAGTGCAAAAGGAGGTCTATAGATTCTAGCTACTACAAAGCTGTTATTGTATCCTGTGCACACCTTTAAGGCTAAAAGCCCAAAACATTTTTCTTTAGATAATGAATTAAGAACTTTTACTTGAATAACAGATTTAATGTAAATAGCCACTCCACCATCTCTTGCTTTTCTATCAGCTTTGTACAGATTATAACCAGGCGGGGATTTTTCTGAGTTGGACGCAGATTGTTTTAACCAGGATTGAGTCAAAACTACGACATCTGGATAAGCTTGTGAAATCAAAATTTTCCGGTTATCCAACTTCTTATGCTGAAGAAGACTCCTAACGTTTAAGTGAATTATGCCTATGCCTTTTCTGTGTTTGACATTAATCAGATCTGTTAATAATTTTGTTGCAAGCATAGGTTTCGGGGTTTGTGAGACGGTTTGAGGGTGACGCAAAGGGGTGACCAGGATGGCTTAAAGCTGATAAGATTAGCTAGGTTGATAAAATTTTCTTTCTGCCTTGTTCCCTTGTTTGAGTGGCTGATCTTAGGTCAAGTGCTAATGACTACAGAGATAAGTACTCACTTCTAGTTTCAAGTAGTCATTTCAGGTTAAGAACACAGTGATGCTGTATTGCAGCTTTGAAGCTGCCTGGACAGGCCTGGACTGTATCGTAGCTGTGAACTGCCTGGACTGGTTGCCAGTTTGAAATTACATCGGACATGGCTGTCTGGGCTGGTCGTTGGGCTGGGTGATTAATCGAAAAGTAATCGAAAGCGATATTCAGGATCTCTAACTGACATAATCTTGCCCGTGTCGGTTATTTTGATGTTTTTAAAATTCTGTTAATCCTTTCCCCACTCTGTGTGTTCATGTACTGTCAGCAGGTAAAAGTGGCCCAAATCTGATTTTCTCACCAAACTCGATTTTTGGTTTGGCTGTTCACAATATCTTTTAAATGTGACCTGTATGTGACATCAGTCCAAACAGATCACGCCCCTGAACTGACCCATATGCACAAAAAAAAACAACGTGTCACGTTGCTTCACATGGCTCATCCAGAGGTGAACAATTACGGCTATGCATGAACACCAGTCGCTCCTGGAGCTTTCAGTTTCATCCTCGCCAGCATCACAGGAGCGATCATGAAGCTTTACTGACTGACAGCTGGGCTCATCACCTAGAATGTATTCGAGCTTCCGTAAAAAGTGCATGTTATTCGGCCACGGTCACATCTTCAGTTTGTGTCTTCGGATTCTTTAAACTGCTTTCAGACTTCTAACTGTTCTTTGACGCTGCAGTCTCGCTGTCCTATGGCCGCGTTCGGCCATTTCTTTCAAAATCTCTTCAAACACGGAGGTATTTTGGATAAGTCTTTTCTACTTTTTGTACAGAAATATCACCCCAAATGTGTATTAGGTCTCAGCAGCGTGAATTAATGACAAATGTCAAGTTGGATTGACTTAAAAGTCGCATGAATTCCGATCTGGCTGTTGCGACAATTTACATTAAGATATGCAGAGCATATTTACAATACAAACCTTGTCAGTGAACTATGAGGGTAAAAAAACAAACAAAAAACAAAATAATCGTTCATTAATCGTAATCAAGGTATTCAATTAACCGTTATACTGATTTGAGGTCATATCGCTCAGCAGCAGCTGGTCGCTACCTCGACTGGTGGTGTTTGGCTGCATGAGCAGTGCTATGCTGTAGCTATGAGGCTGCCTCAGTGATGCTACATCAGAGCTACGTGGCTGCCTGGGCTAGCCGCTTGGGTGATGATGTACTGCAGCCTGGACAGCTGGTGTTTGGCTACAGGAACACCTTTAACTGCATTAAGGACTCCAGACTAGCTAAGGGACTCCAAACCGTGGTCTGGGAAGTCTCCCTTTTGTAAAGTGCCTTTAGTATGGGACAGGTGCTATATAAATAAAAGTGATGATGATGACCACTGTCTTAAAAGCATGTTTGCAGCATCCAACAAAACATTTATTAAGTCGTTTTCATGTGCTTCCTATAATATTGTTGTTGAACTACCAAGGAAAAATGCTTACTGTAAGTAAAAAACTTGTCAGAGAATCAAGGGTTAGCTTAGCGAAGCTGCTGAACAGTAAGGGAGGCAGAGCGAACTTACAGGTGAACCCATAACGGAGCTACAAAGGACACGTACCTAGCAACGGTCCTTTGAATGAGACACACCGAGTGTCACTGGCCCAAACAGGCCAGCGCCTGACAAATCAACTTGCTTGACATACTTTTTTACTGGCACTGGGTCATCGGGCCATTGCTTATGTCAAACGCTGATATTTCCCAAGCTGTTTAAAGGTAGATTATCCTCCTGTATCTGTCGGTTTCCCAACATAGTGATTACTGCCTTTCAAATATCATCACCAGGTTACTTGTCAATCATCGTTGATCTTATTAAATGGATACATCATGTTTTGGAACAAATCCTTCACCTATAACAGCACACTACATAAGGTGTAAAACATTTTAAATATAATAAAAATAAAAAGTATTGTATCAGTACTCTATATCCTGAGCTCAGGTATTTGAATCTGTATCAGAGGAAAAAGTTGGATCAGTGCATCATAACACAGAATACAAACAGATAAAGAAACTGAATTACTTTAACCAGTATAACTTGTATATAGACATTCTCACCTGAGGGAATAGGTATAGCCTGTATTATCTGGGGCACACTGAGGAGGAGTATATGCATGCAGGTGAGAGAAATCCATGGTCATTCTTCAACCAGACTGCAAAGATCAAGATGAAGAAAGATGTACTTAGGCCAAACTGTAATTATCCATGGTGGAGACAAATCACAGCACACACTGATTAACATACAGACAATCTACTTTTCAGCCTGTCCCTTCAGATGTTTGTTTGAATACAGCTTCATGGGTTTCATAAGATCAAGAAGGATTTTACAGAATGCACATACAAAAAAAAAACAGAATTTCCATATAAATGTGGAATTGTGTAGAATTGTGTTAAATTTCAGCAACTGCCTGAAAAAAAATGACTTGGGTGCCAAAAAGTGATAATATTTTTTTCAACACTGATAATGCGTGTTAAAGGCATTTTTGATTAAATTAAGCTGTTCTGTTCCTCGATCCAAAATTAGCAGCAAAGGCTTGAAGCTTGGACAACTGCCACTTTTATACACTAGGTGCTGCTATGCATCTTTTACTCACTAGAATGGGAGTTAGAATTCTAGCCATTCACTCACTACAGCAGGACAGTTAAGAGTTACCTTGATTGGTATTTTTTTAGATTATGGATAGAAAAAACACCAACAGTTTGACGACAAAAGTCTTAAAACAAGAGGAGATCGTCACAACACATTCTCTGCAGTATGAAACTGATTTGGTTTAACTCATTTCATGTTCCATCTTAATAATCAGATTTTATATTATGCCAGCATAAGCCCTTTATTTTATTCAAGGTTCAAAATATTAAGTGTGTAATGATTTCAATACAGAATAAAATAAAAAAACAAATGAATGGTTGAAAGTGTATCAACATTTAAAACTGTAGTACCTATGTAGTAGTAGCCCTCTTCTCATTCGCTGTCTTCCTTGGAGACCACTGTTAACCTAATCTAGGCAACTAGGTGCATTCTTCAGAGTCGAGTCGAAGGAGAAAGGGGTCAGGGTTATACTATGAACACACCAATACTAAAATGACTTTTTTTCCTTTAGTTACTTATAAATTCAGGAGGTTGTAATTATGCGGGCCTTTTTTTGCTACAGGTCTGGCACAGCAGGCAATGAAAATAGTTCTATATAAGAACTTTATTTATGTGAGCCAAACAAATCTGTGCAGTATATAATTAGTGCTCTTTGGAATCAATACATTTAACCCATCACCCTGCAGCCTTCTCTACATTTTCTGCATGCATGAGGACTTGAACTTCATTAGTGCCAGTAGACTGTCTCACCAGTGCACAAGCTATTTTGCTAGTTAGTAATATCACACACACAGTACCATCCAATCATATGGAAAAAAAAAATGGCATTAGCCATAAAAAAAAAACCAATACACTATAATTACAGTTGCTAGGCTATAAAGGACTAACTGAACCAATCTGCAACAGTGCCACCCTTAGGCAGACCAGTGCTGTTTAAGAATACAGAAGTTCAGAAGTACAGGGCTTTTTAGATTGCTCCAAATCACTCTCTCTGCGAAGTTGGACTGTGAACTCTCTATCATTTTTTTTTGTTTTGTTTTTTTTTCCACTCATTTCATCTCAACAAATATTTCATTTTTATCAATGAAAGTGACATTGTGTGACTCCTGTCTGTCTTTTAGCGCATTCAGTGCAGCGGCCCAAGCCCACACGAGAACTTGCGAGGCAGACAGCCAAAGTAGTGCTGCTTTTTTTCCACAATCGAATATTAATTTTCACAATCAAATGTCTGTTTCTTTTAACAATTTGATTATGTAACCAAATTTGGAATATTCATTGACACCATTGGAAGCAGGCTAAACAATGACCTTTCCCTGAATTTATATCTGAGTGACCTTTTTACCCTGATGGACAACATAACTTCTTAAGTTTATTTTCAGGGATATTCAATATGCTAATGTTTATATAACAGTGGTGTTACTTTCGTTAACAGTGACGTCAATTTCATAATAATTTTTATCATTTTCTTGCATTTAAAAATGGGCATTGAATGTAATTTCATGTCGGCAAACAAATCAACAACTCACTCCAGTACTCCTGCCGCCCAGCTCTTGTCTTCAGATGCGCAACATGATTATAGTTGGTATTTTTCTTCATTCAAATTTTGTTCAAAACAAAATGGAAATACAGAATTGTGAATGCAATATCAAGAATCAACTCTCCAGCTGAGAGTATTGTTACACCCCTATCACACGCCTACAAAATACTATTTGGACTTTAAATTAAATGTTAGGAAATTATGTGATTATATGATTATATTTATTATAATATGTAATAAATTATTAGTAATAACGACAATGAGTTAAAACTGCATTCTTTATATTTGTTTACCTGAAAAGTTCACTATATTTTAGATATTTTAAGTTTACAGAGTATATGTTAAAACTGAGAGATCCAGTTATTCATTTTCATTTTGGAATAATATGCACTTAATGTATTAATGTGAAACTAAAGAAAAAAAAAGAAATTAGGCAATCTTTTTTAAATCTACATTAAAATCTACATTTTAAATACTGGTTATATAACCATTATATTATAACCATTAATAATATTATATTATTACTGGCATAGGAGCACCACTCAACACTGTTTAAGAATGCGAAAAATTGATATGCAGTATCATGCAACTTATAAATGCCTTTCTGTTTGGTTTCTAAACCTCACCCCTTCCCCCACTACCCTGCACATCACCTCTATGTTGCAGGCTGGATATTTTTGCTTGGTGGACTATTCTCAGTCCAGCAATGACACTGAGGTGTTTAAAAACTCCAGCAGCACTGCTGTGTCTGATCCACTCGTACCAACCCAACACACGCTAACACACCACCACCATGTCAGTGTTACCGCAGTGCTGAGAATGATCCACCACCCAAATAGTACCTGCTATGTGAGGGTCCATGGGGGTCCTGACCACTGAAGAACAGGGTAAAAGGAGGCTAACAAAGTATGCAGAGAAACAGATGGACTACAGTCTGTAATTGTAACTAACTTGTAATTAACTACAAAGTGCACCTATACAGTAAGTGGAGCTGATAAAATGGACAATAACTGTAGAAACAAGGAAGTGGTCATAATGTTATACCTAATCGGTGTAAATTAAAAGTAACTTAAGCTAACAGCTTCATACACAAAACACATTTATCCATCAGGATTTGTCTTTATTCTCTAAACTTGCATCAGTGAGGCTTCAATGAGCCAGAAGGAACCATGGTTGTGTATGAGGCCTAGGCCTTCTCACTAAGCTCGTGTTAGCTTCTAGCAAATATGGTTGAACACGGAGTAAAAGTAGCTTAGTCTAATGGCTTTACACAAACACATAGGTTTACTGGCTCAGACATGAGTCTGCTCAAAGCTTGCCCCAGTGAGCCGGACTGAACACGTGCTGTGCCCTAGATTCATGGGCCGTTTAGTCCTGTTGTTTAATCAACTAAAAAATGGGCAATGAATTTTGCCTAAGCCACATTTTTTTTGCCAATGTGTTAAATTCACCTAATAAACAATAACTGTCTATTAAAATATACAGTAATATGTTGTCCTTTAAAAACATCCAACAGTGTTTTGCTGCTCAGTCATTCTAAACGAAGTGAATCACATAATGTTAATAAAAATAAAAGTCAACAAGTACAACTTAGAGACAACAACTTAGAAAAAGTGCAACAAATGGACTAATTAGCATGGAGTGCAGTAGTACTCCAGGACCAATACAACAGTAAATGGGAGTAGTGTGAAATCACACTAAAACAAATAGGTTTTATAAGAAGTGGTTAAGGAAAATAGCCTAATGTAGTGCTTCCTCTCTTTCTTAGGCTAGTGTACAAAACTGTTTAACTGACTGAAGGGTATGTCTCTTTCTACACTTTGGTTTGCAAACAATAGAAAATATACAAGAATTTAGCTTAACACTACTCAAAACAGGTTTTTGTCCAGAGTTTCTTTTCTGGTTCTTTGTATAACATCTTGTTATCTATAAAAAATGGTCACGTACATCACATGGTTAAAACAGTAACAGCAGCAGCCTTAGGTTTTTGCATACACAAAACAGCGAAAACAAGTGAACAGGTGTGCTTGCTTGTTTGGAATCAAAAACTTCCTCCACACTGGCCCTTTGTGAAAAAGACTGGACATCACGCAGTCACACTGAAGAACTCAGTGCCCTGCTTGGTCTGCCCCTGTCAACTGTAAGTGCCGTTAATGTGAAACAGAAGCATCTATGAGCAACAACAGTTCAGCCACAAAGAGACAGAGATAGACACAGAGCGGAACAACCAAGTGTTGAACATGGAACATTAAAATCAGCAATACTGTTGCGTCACTACAGAGTTCCAGACTGCCTATGGAAGAAACAACAGCACAAAAACTGTGTATCTAAATGCGTTTCCATGGCCAGGCAGCTGCACACAAGCCTAAGATCACTAAGCACAATGCCAAGTGTCTGGAGGAGCGTAAAGCACGCTGTCACTGGACTCCAGAGCAGTGGAAATGTGTTGTCTGGATTCTGGAATGATGAATCATGCTTCACCATCTGGCAGTGTGATGGATGAATCTGGGTTTGGTGGATGCCAGGAGAACACTACCTACTGGAATGCAGAGTGCTCTTTCCTGTTCTTGCATGACTGTGCCCCTGCGCATAAGGCAAGGTTCATAAAGACATGGTTTGACAAGTTTGGTGTGAAAGTCCAGGGCATGCACATAGCTCTGACCTCAAACCCAATAAACACCTTTAGGATGAAATGCAACACTGAATGGGAGACAGGCCTTCTTGTTCAGCATCAGTGTGTGACCAGACAATTTTTTGTTTGTTTGCTTGTTTTTGACTGAACAGGTACAAATTCCCATAGACATGCTCCAAAATCTTGTGGACGGCCTCTCCAGAAGAGTTGAGGATCTTATAGCCACAAAAGGGGAGCGAGGAAGGTTAGTAAACTTATTATGTAAACTTATAACTTGTAAACATATTATGGCCATGGTTTTCGAACGGGATGTCAACCTCATATGAGCGTGACAGTCAAGTGTCCACATACTTTAGTGTACTTTTTATAGGTAATATTATGTACGACTTACCAAGAAAATATAAACAAGACATTACTTGAGATTACTTAAAACACAGAAGAGTCTGAGGTGAGGTATGTGATAATTTTGATTATTTAGTTTGCACAGTGTTCAAGGATTACAAGTTGGGTATAATCTGGAGTTACTTTCCGTCTTCCAGGTACAACAGTGAGGGCACAGGCACATAACTAACTTGGGGGGGGGGGGTTCAGTGAACACTTTAGTATGTTGCAGTAACATTGCATAAGCCTTTTAAGTGTTTTGCCTTTTCAAATATATTTATTACGAAGAAATCCCATATCATCTAAGATTACTGTATTTTTCATATATTGTATAGTAGTACTGCCTTGAGCATTGTTATATTACAACCCATCACCACAACCCAACTTTATAATGATGGCCATATGCAACTAAATGTTATGGTCTTTTTTGACACAAGAAAAATTGTACTTTTACATGAGAAAATTTTAAGAATGGCACAAACTGTAATAACTGCAAGTTTCCAAGGTCTGTCCTTCGTTCACTCATGCAAATTAGCCCACAGTCTCATGCTGAGACGAACATCTGACTACAGAAATTAGGTTAGATTATACCAAGACAGTATATAGAGCAAAACCTCTAAATTTCTGTTTGATGCAGTACTCTCTGCTCTCGTCACTCCTCGAAGCTCACATTTACATGTTCTGACAGTATGACGTCTAAAGAATTAAGTTACAGGCGAAATATATTCTACATGTCATGCTACAAAGCAGGCCCAATGTTCCGTTTTCAACACTGCTCTGCAGAATGGAGCCTGACTGTCTGTGTCAATATAATATCCGAGACACATCAATAATCAGTTATTAAGCCTTCACGAAAGGATGTATTCTCGAGACAACAAAAAGGAAAAGCGTCCACTTGCCCGTCTGTTCATGTGTTTGGGTTCCTTAGCACTCAGTCTTTACAGATTTACAGATTACTCGCCACATTCCGACAAAATTAAAAATCAAACAAACAATAAAATAAAATATTCCCCACTTTCGGTTAAAGGTTTGTACGCTGACAGTGTATTTCCAAACCGTTATGAGTAGAATTCCAAAATGGCTTCTCAGACGTAACAAAGGAAGAAGGACTACTTGCTAGAAGTGCCTACCCCCCTCTCGGTTTACTACTGTCAAACAAGCGGCATACTTAGAAATTATTGGTCGAACACAAGAATGCACTTCTACGTAGCAATAATAATAATACTACTACTAATAATAATAATAATAAAAATAACGATCAGTAGCACATGCCTTGTCCAAGTCAGGCGAAATACATTGACTTGTAAAAGCGGCAGGATTTTGCGTGTCAACGCCATTTAAAAGCTGTAGGTCTAAAAATATCTTCACCGGTGTTTCCCAAAGTGTGCTGCTGCCCCCTGGTGGGTCGCGGAGGCATTAGAGCTCCAGATGGAGCTTATCGGGTCATTAAAACATAAATGTAAAATAATGTTAAAAAAAAAAAAAAGTGTAAAAATAAAATCTTTATACACATTTCACAATAGGCTTTCCCACTACTTCAGATATGAGTAAAATAAGATGAAACCTAATTTATGCCATTTAAGTGTTCTTGTTTCTTGCCCTCCATTACTTAAACAGTAACTTCACCCTATGACCTTTTTATTATTAGCTGTAATGAACTGCTCTGTAATAATAAAATATATCAGCCTTATTTGAAATGTGAACATATCTTTCCAAACTGTAAAAATATCATTTTTATCGTGGTCAGTTCCGCCTCTGCAGCGCCCCTCTGGTTCAACTCTGCTATAGGCGCGGATCGCGTACAAAAGTAAGGAACCGTCGTCAAAGTGCGCTTCCTTATGTACAAGTCTTGTTCTTAGCGTCAAATTCTCAATTGCGTCTATACCGTAGGGCCAGCTGAAAGCCAATCAACTAAGACCTTCCTGTAATTGTAACTTACTACAGCAGCAGAATTTAATTTTAGTGTTGTGTTGATTTATGATTAATATTCTATACTCATAAAACAATAGCTTCAGGCTCAAACTTGTAAAACAAAAGACATTAAAGACTGTTCTATCATTCCAACTGACTGCAGCAAGTCAATAAACTCCAGTTTTAAGTAATGTTTTAAACATTAAAAAAATCAGTAGCCTCTTCACTGTAAGGTGTTGTGGCTAAAATGGCATGCTTCTAATTAAAAAATGAACTTCGGCTAATACATAACAGAAAACAGTTAAACACCAAGAATGGCAGAGAAAGGTACAATCTTTTACTAAAGATTAAGGCTT